TCTCTGGAGATACCTGAAGGACTGACATGAGGTGCTTATCTTTGTTTCACATAACTTGGAATGCAGATGGGAAAAGCAGTAGGCACTGCTTGTAAATGCTGCAAGGGGACTGTAAACCCACAATAGCTGGAAGAGATTCTGAGTAGAGATAGACTCAGAAAAGAAGTTGTGATGAGACTAGGAAATTAGGATATTCAGAGCAACAGCATAACATCTCAGGGTGATCCCTATACTCAGAGCAAGCCTAGTTAATAAAGGGGTGAAGGAGTGCCTCTGCACAGAATGTCTGCAAAGATGTGGGAGAGAAGAATGTTCTCCTTTTTGTGTGTGTATGTATGTGTGTTTGTTTCAATTGTTGGCATTGAAGGAAATCTTTATTAGAACAGGAAATGTCTGTCAGAACATCAGCTGAAGAGAAGGTAAAGGAACCTCAGTGACTTAAAAAGGAATAATGTTTAAGAAAAAAAAAATTGGAACTCTCAAAACAGAGACTACAGTTTTCAACAATAATTAAACACACACACACAGAGCAAACCCTGGGGAAGGAAAATCTGATTTCCTAAGTAATCATTTGGTAATAGTCAAATGCCAAATTTTCAGCAAAACCTGCAAAGCATACAAGTAAGCAGGAAAGTGTGGCTCATTCAAAGAAACACAGTAAATGAAAAGAAGCTGTCTTAGAGGAAGCCCAGACATTGGATTTAGTAGAAAAAGTCATTAATATGTGGAAACTAATTTGACAATTAACTATTTGTAAAAAAAAATAAATAAAATAAATAAATAAATAAAAAAGAAGAAAGAGATACAAATCAAAAAAAAAAAGGTCCTTAAATAATTTATCTTAACTATGCTCAAAAAGCGAAGGAAAACAGAGAAAGGAAATCAGGAAAACATTAAACAACAAAGTATTGACAGAAATTACAAAAGGAATAAAAAAATTCTGGAGCTGAAAAGTACAGTAACTGAAATGATAAATTCACTAGAGAGAGTACATAGCATATTTGAGCAGGTGAAAGAAAAAAATCAGTGAACCAGAAGGTAGGACAATATAAATTATGAAATCTGTGGAGCAGAAAGTAAAAGAATGAAGAAGAGTGAACATAGCCTGTATTAGTTTGCTAGGTTGCCATCCCAGAATGCCATAGATTGAGTGACTTAAATAACCAAAATCTATTTTGTCACAGTTCTGGAGGGTAGAAGTCCAAGATCAAGGTGTCAGTAGGTTTGGTTCCTTCTGAGGCTTCTCCTTGGTGTGCAGATGGCCACCATCTTGCTGTATCCTCACATGGTCTTTTCTCTGTGTACACACATCATTCTATGTGTCCTAATTTCCTACTTATATAAGACACTAGTCAGCTTCGATTTGGACTCCTAATAGCCTGAGTTTAACTTAACACCTTTTTAGGGGCTCTGTCACCACTAGTCATATTCTGAGGTACTGGGGGCTACGGCTTCAAAATATAAATCTTGGTCAGGGTATGTTGGGGGGGGGGGGGCACACATTTCAGCCCATAACAGAGCCTTGTGGGACACTGACAAGCTGACCAACATGTGCTTTATGCGAGTCCCAGGAGAAGAGATAAAAAGGGACAGAATGATTATTTGAAGAAATAGTGGCTGAAAACTTCCCCATTTTGATGGAAGGCATGAATCTACAAATCCATGAAGCTCAGTGAACTCCAAATAGGATAAACCCAAGGGGACTCATCCTGAGACACATTATAATCAAACTGTCAAAAGCCAAAGACAAAAAGAGAATCTTGAAAGCAGGTTTAGAGAAGTGAATTATCACTAGGGGGCATCAATCAAGTTATCAGCTGATGTCTCATCAGAAGTGTTGGAGGCCAGAAGACAGTGGGATGGCCTTATGTTTATGTGCTGAAAGAAAAAAAACACTGTAAACTGAAATTTTTAATATCTGGCAAAACTGACCTTCATAAATGAGAGAGAAATTAAGACATTTTCAGAAAAACAAAAGCTGAGAGATGGAGTTCATTACCTGCTCTACATAAAAATGTTAAGGGAAATCCTTCAAGTTGGAAAGAAAGAACAGTAAGTTCTTACTTTCTTACTTTCTTAGACAGTAAGTCAAAGCCATATGAAGATACAAAGATCTCCAGTAGAGATAATTACACAAATATAAAGTTAGTCTTATTATAACTTTGGTAAGTGCACTTTTTGTTTTCTACAGAATTTAAAAGATAAATGCATAAAAGTAATTACAAATCTATGTTATTTATAAGGCACGCAGCTGGTAAAGATGCAGTTTTTGTCATCAATAACATAAAGGAAAGGACAGAGTAGAGTTTTTGCATATAATTGAAATTAGATTGGTATCAATTCACATCTGTTATAATTTTAGGATGTAATGATAAACTTTATGATAACTACAAAGAAGCTATCCATAGAGTTTACACTAAAGAAAATGAGAAGGGAATCAAAATGTGTCACTCCCCAAAAAACACTAAAGGAAACAGTAATGGAGAAAATGAGAGACAAAAAATAATACAGAAAGCAAGTAGCAAAATAGAAATAAGTTCATTATTACTTTAAATACAGTGGATTAAACTTTATCAAAGGCATAGATTGGCAGAAAGGATAAATAAGTGATCTAGCTACATGCTGTAAGACACTCACTTTAGATCTAAACACAAATGGGTTAAAAGGATGGGAAAAGATTCTCTGTGCAAGTAGTAACCAAAAGCAAAATAGACTTTACATCAAAAACTGTTACAGGAATCAAAGAATGCCAGTATTATTGATAAAAAGGTAAGTTCATCAAGAAGGTATAATAATTACAACTTTGTGCATCAGACGTCTGAACCTCATAATATATGAAGCAAAAATTTACAGGATTGAAGGGAGAAATAGTTTTACAATAATAATTGGAAATTTCAGTGTCCACTTTTAGTAATGGATAGATAAGATAGAATATCAGTAAGGAAATACAGGACTTGAACAACAGTATGAACCAATGGGACATGTATAGAGCACTGCACTCAGTAACAGCAGAATACACAGTTGTCACAAGTACACGTGGAATATTCTCTAGGATTGATCCTATGTTAAACCAAAAAAGTCTTAATTAAAAAAAAAATTAGGGGCTCCTAGGTGGCTCAGTTGGTTAAGTGTCCGACTTCGGCTCAGGTCATGATCTTACCGTTCGTGAGTTCCACCATTTTGATCAGTCAGCTAACCTCTCCTTCACTCTACTTCTACTTGGTTTCTTGGGTAACTAAGAACTCTCTAATTCATTCTTAATTTCTCTCAGCAGGAAAGGGTCAGATTGGGTTGTCCAGTTATTTATTATTCAGTTGGACAAAACTCTCGTGAGTTACTTCAAAGGCCCCTTGGATGGTCTCTGGGTTGGAAGCTGATGGCTGGTCATAGTTCTTTGTAACCAAAGTCTCATTTTCTCATCATCTAAACTATGGTGATCATACTGATAGAACTGTCTATGGTAATTTCCTCAGAAGGAACCTTTGTGGCCTTGGTAGGTATTCAGAGCATTATTTATTACTCTTTATCAATTGGTCACTGGGAGCTTTCAGACTGAAGGAAAAGTAGAAAATGCTGCGGATACACAGGGTGTATTTCTGGTTCCCAAAATAGCCCATGGTTAACCAAAACAAAAGAAAATTATCTTTACTTATCTTTATCTTTACTCCTGGTTCAACAACCTTTTGTAGAAGTCATTGTTTTAGATGCTAATAGCAACTCAGGTATACATATTTCTGATTTTCATCCCTTTTAGTAGTTTTTTAAATGGATTTTTCTGTAACTAATGAAATCTTACTAAATAAGAAGGAAAGGATCAAAATATGTACTTGGAATTATGCATGAAACTGAACCATTAAATAAGATTAAAGGTGGGAAAAGAATAGATTGTTGTGACCTGCATCCCACCTAATGATTCAAGGAGTTAGAAAAAAGCAGCTTAGAGTACACGTCTTTGCACATTTTCTTTAGCGGGATCTTAGTAAGCTAAGATTAGCTTGCCATTAAGATTAAATCCTTAATGAGGATTTTTTTAAAGATTCTATTTTTAAGTAATCTCTACACTCAACATGGGGTTTTGAACTTACAGCCCCAAGATCAAGAGTTGCATGCTCCACTGACTGAGCCAGCCAGGCACTCCCTTAATGAGGGTTTTATATATGAAGACCTTCTATAGGGAATGCATATTTTCCTAGAGGCCAGGTAGCTGAAGAATGACATTTTGTGAGTGGTCAGTGTACTACTTGATCTTCTCCAAGAAAATTGGTAAGACATTTTGAGACCACAATAAACTGGTTTTAATGTTTGTTGAAACACATGGAGAGTCAGAGGCTAGTTTGAAAGGGATTCCCATGCAGTTGGTATATCTTGATTTCACCAATGGCTTCATTCTACTTAGCTTCATGAAATTACATTATTATTTTTCTCATTTTACTAAAAACCAGTGAAAGCTTTTTAGTGGATGGGAATCACTGGGTTGCATGGTTAACATTGCATGGTGGTCTTTTGGCTGGTTGTGCCATACCAGAGTGTTGTGCCATCTTGAAGGGAAGAGCACCAGGCCGTGAATCTGCACCGTATCAAATCCACCAAGAGTACAGCAGCCAGGTTGGAAGCCTAGAGGAGAGGAGAGTGCGGGAGGCAGGAGTGACAAGAAGGCCCAGGTGGGTCTGGAGGAAGGATGTTGACAGGGTTAATAATGACAATGAGCAAGAAGAAAATTCTTAAAGGAAGAGCCTTTAAAGCCCCAAGGCCATTTTTTCTGGAACTAAGAAAGAAAATGAATTCTCAGGACCCTTCCTCTCAGTCCATTCCAGTGAGGTCAGACTGAGAAAGAAGCAACTTGCTATATCTAAGAGACTTTGTTTTGGAATATAATATTTTTCTGTCCTCTGTGGTGATTGTAGTCTAATTAGAAGGGAAAAATCTGAACTCCGTTGGAGGGTTCTCTGCTATTTTAGAGTTGCGTTGTCTCTGATTTTACTTTATTTTTTTCCCTTCAGGTTGCTTGATTGGGGCTGTGAATCTCAAATCCAGCAACCGGACCCCAGTGGTACAGGAATTTGAAAGTAAGTACTAGGGGGAGACTACTAGGAGAACGGGCGCCATCTAACGGACAGTTGGTAGTCTTGCAGCCAACTGAGGACAAGCACACAAACACACACACTCACTCACACAGACACACAGACACACACACACACACACTCACACTCACACTGTAGTGCCAGAGATGTTCAGGTGGGTGGCCCCTCAGCAGTGCATCTGGTGTGCAGGTGGGTCAGTGCAGCAGTGATTTAGCAGGTCAGTGGGACTCGGCAGCTTTTAGGTGGGCTGAAATCCGATTCCTGGCTTTATATGTATACCACAAAGCATTTTCTTGTATGTGAATAGAGTATTAAGGGGGAATGTGTACTCTATTTAGTAAAAGTCCTTGCTAATCATCTTTATTATTTTTCTGGCTAAAATTTTTCTTAAAGTCACTTAGAGCCTAGTGATAGGTAGATTTGTAACCTGCATGAAAGACTTCTCTAAAATTAGTGATTACGTGCAGGGTCTGGGTACACAACTGATCGTAAAATTGTTTCACATCCTCTGAGAGTTCTTTTTCTTCTTCTTCTGCTCATTAGGTGTGGAACTCTCCTGTATCATTACGGATTCACAGACAAATGACCCCAGGATTGAATGGAAGAAAATTCAAGATGACCAAACCACATATGTGTTTTTTGACAACAGAATCCAGGGTATGACCCTCTAATCCCTTCCTGTAGCCACAAGGCCCAGGCATGTTCTTGTGGCCAGAGACCTTCCTCTGACTGGGCCTGCGTCTGTAGCCAGGATTGGTTTCTTTTTTGTTTGTTTCACTTGTAGAAAACTCAACATAGAAAAGTAATGAGAATAGTGTATTGGACCTCACTATCCCTGTAATCCAGCTTTAACAAGTATCACCTCTTTAGTGAGGATTTAAATCTACCTGCCCAACCTTTTGGGGTATCACAGTGAACATTTTGCTAGGCCATCCTCTTATCATGGTCCATGACATTTGTGATACAAGCTGTGTGACTTAATCAGAAAGATTATGTGGAGCAGCAAGGAGACAAGTATTTACTGAGCACCTGCTATGTGCCACACTTCCCCTATTGAGAAAGCATTTGCTAGAACAGAGGTCAGCATAAGGTGTTCTCAGGTTGCATGCTCTTGGGTGGTGGGGAAGGCTTCCCAGAAGTGACATCTAGGCCAAATGATGAAGCCGGATAACCAGTGAGAAGTAGGATGGGGAAGGGTGTTGGGCGAGAAAGAATGTCATATATAAAGACCTAGAAGCAAAAGGCAGCTTGGCTCAGGGAAACTGCAAGTTCTCCGCCATAGCTGGGACTTAGGGAGGGGAGAGAAGAAGGATTCCACATAGCTGGGAAGGCATGCCAGGGCCAGGCAAGAGTGAGGGTCCACAAAGATTTTTAAGAGGAAAGTGTCATGATTTCACTTAGGACACTTTAGGGAGACTGACTTGCCTGCTTTGTGGAGAAGAGATTGGAGAGGCAAACTCGGAGCAGGGATGCTAATTCTGAATTTTTTTGCAGATTCCAGAAGGGAGCTGTTGATGGCCTGAGCTAAGGTCAAGGCAGTGTAGAGAGAGATGCAGAGGGGTTGCTAAGAGCTGGCTGTGGCAAGGGAGGGAGAAGGAGGAATTATAGATGATATGCTATGGGACCTTCCCTTCACTCTGACAGGAGGGACTTGGTAAACATGAGGGACAAATGCAGCAACTTCTAAGGGCTGGCTTCAGAATTGTCAGAGAACCTCATAGTTGTGGCTTCAGAGGAGACTGGGGATTTTGTGGAAACCGCCTAATCTCAGTCTTCCTGCTTTGGGTGCCCAATATCATCAGGAGTGATAGGCTTTTAAATATCATTGTTTTCCCTCACCAATGTCTCCCCCACCTCTTACTTTGAAGAGATGAAAATAGTTTTCCCAGAAAACAAGTCCATTTTCTCTGGCAACTTAGGCTGCTCCTGATAAACCCTGTACATGCACTTGTGATCATCAGAAAAACCAAGTGGGAATTTTCTTAAAGCACTTCTGTTTCTGGGAATTAAACACTTTATTCTTAGCCAGAGTGAGGGGGAGGGTATTTACACACAAAATATGAAGGCTGGAGGAAAATTTGAATCTGTTTGGTCTCTTCTCTTGCCTCAGTTCAGGTCTGTGCCAAAAACATCCTGATAGATTTTTTAAAAATTTATTATTGAAGTATGGGTGAAGTATAGTGTTATATTAGGTTCAAGTATACAACATAGTGATTAGACAAATCTGTATCTGACTTAGGCTCACTGCAAGAAGTGTAGTCACTGTACATTATTACAATATCATTGACCGTGTTCCTTATGTTGTGCTTTTTATCTCCATGACATACTTATCTTATAGCTGGAATTTTGTGCATCTTAATTCCCTTCACTTCACTCCCCTTCGGCAACCCCTCTCTGTATTTACTAATCTGTTTTTTTTCCTGTTGTTTTGTTTTTTAGATTGTACATATAAGTGAAACGGTACTTGTCTTTCTCTGACCTCACTTCACTTAGTGTAATACCCTCTAGGCCCATCCGTGTTGTCACAAATGTCAAGATCTCATTCTTTTTTTATGGTTGAATAATATTCTCAATAATACACACACACGCACACACACACACACACCTTTGATAGATTTTTATTTACTAATTTCTTGCATGGTTGAAATTCTAATCTTCCACTAAGGACTGCTAACTAACAAACCTTCCTATTAGAAAATACTTTTGGACTAGTATCCAAAATCTATAAGGAACTCACCAAACTCCACACTCAAAAAACAAATAATCCAGTGAAGAAATGGGTAGAAGACATGAACAGACAATTCTCCAAAGAGGACATCCAGATGGCTAACAGACACATGAGACAATGCCTAATATCACTCATCATCAGGGAAATAGAAATCAAAACCACACGGAGATACCATCTCATGCCGGTCAGAGTGGTTAAAATGAATGAATCAGGAGACTTATAGATGCTGGCGAGGATATGGAGAAATGGACAGCCTCCTACACTGTTGGTGAGAATGTAAACTGGCTGCAGCCCTTCTGGAAAACACTATGGAGGTTCCTCAAAAAATTAACAATAGAACTCCCCTGTGACCCAGCAGTAGCACTGCTAGGAATTTACCCAAGGGATACAGGAGTGCTGATGCATAGGGGTACATGTCCCCCAATGTTCATAGCAGCACTCTCAACAATAGCCAAAACATGGAAAGAGCCTAAGTGTCCATCAACTGACGAATGGATCAAGAAGATGTGGTTTATCTATACCATGGAATACTACATGGCAATGAGAAAGAATGAACTCTGGCAACATGGATGGAACTCTAGGATATTATGCTAAGTGAAATAAATCAGGCAGAGAAAGACAGATACCATATGTTTTCACTCATGTGTGGAACAGGAGAAACAACAGGACCATGGCGGTGGGGGGAAGGAGAAAAATAGTTAAGGAGAGGGAGGGAGGCAAACCATAAGAGACTCTTGAATGCTGAGAACAAATTGAGGGTTGATGGGGGTTGGGGAGAGGGGGAAATGGGTGATGGGCATGGAGGAGGGCACTTGTTGGGATGAGCACTGGGTGTTATATGGAAACCAGCTGGGTGTTTTATGGAAACCAACTTTCTTTAAAAAAAAAAGAAAGAAAAAATGCCTTTGGAAATGTTCATCCTTTGCAATAAGCATTTTGCTGTTTTTATTATATTATGGCAAATCCTTCTTGCTCTTGCCATAATTCAGCAGGTTTAGTAATGATTAGTTTCTGTGTTTGTGTCATTTCCCCCCAACTCCTTCCTTTATCTGTCATTCTTTAGGTTCTTCATGCTCCTTTGAAAGAGTTCCCAGCTTTTTGTGCTTTAAATGTTTTAAAAATTAAGATATAATCCATATAGTTTAAAACTCATACTTTTAAAGTATATACTTCAGTGGTTGTTAGTATATTCAACAAAGATGTATTTCTCTCACCACCATCAAATTCTAGAACCTTCACTCGCCTCAAAAGAAACTACATCTTTGTTAGCAGCTACTCCCCTTCCCTCTGTCCCCTCCTCCTGGCAACTAGTAATCTTTGTCTCTGTAGATTTGCCTGATGTGGACACTTAATAGAAATGGAAGCATACAATGTGTCGTCCTTTGTGACTTCTTTGACTTAGCATATTGTTTTCAAGTTTCATCCACATAGCATGTGTCACTGCTGCATTTCTTGTTATATGGAAGAATATTCCATTGTTAAGTAGGCCACTTTTTAAAATCCATTTATCAGTTGATGTACATTTGGGTTGTTTCCAATTTTTGGCTATTATCAATAATGCTGCTATGGATATTCATGTAAACGTAATGGTTTTTGTGTAAATATAAGTTTTCATTTGGGGAGGATATGACCAAAAGTATAATTGCTAGGTAACATGGTAGTTGCACATATAGTTGTTGGTGTGTTGTTTTTAAGAACCTGCCAAACTGTATTCCAAAGTGGCTGCACCATTTTACATTCCATCAGCAGTCTATTTCCCCACATCCTCACTAACACTTGTAATTGCCCATCTTTTCAATTCTGCCCTTCCTATATGGGTGTGAATTGGTATTTCATTGTGGTTTTGATTTGCATTGCCCTGGTGACTAGTGATTTTGAGCATCTTTCCATGTTCTTAGTGGTCATTTGTATATTTTCTTTGGAGAAATGTCTACTCAAATCCTTTGTCCATTTTAAATTAGTTTTTTTTCTAATTATTTTTGAGTTGCAAATTCTTTATATATTCTGGATACTAGTCCTTTGTCAGATTCATGATTTGCAAATATTTTCTCCAATTCAGTGGATTGTCTTTCAGTAATTGCATATGTCCTTTGAAGCACAGAAGTGTTTAAATATTTTATGGCAGTCCAATGAAGGCCAATGTAGTTTTTTTTATGCTTGTAGTTTTGGTACCATTTCTAATAAATTATTGTTTAATCCGAGGTCATGATGATTTATATCTATGTTTTTTCCTAAGAGTCATACTGTTAACTCTTAGAGAAAGGTCTTTGTTGTGTATGGTGTGAGGTAGGAGTCCAGTTTCATTCTCTGGCAGGTGGATATCCAGTTGTCCCACCACCATTTATGAATACTGGTTGTTTTTTTAATGTTGTTTGTTTGATTTTTTTTTTCTCTTTAAATGGGGAATCCTGGCTGGGAATGATGAGAGGAAATGAGGTCCCTGCCTTAACAACAAAGACACATGTAATGAGTCCTCTTACACACCAGGTACTATTTTGCTGCTCAGTGTCCTCAGTTCACTTCTGTTGTACAGGAGCAGAAACAGAAGCCAGTCTGCAGCCTCCTGATTGAGGCATTAAATGCTGCCTCCAGAAGCTACCTTCTTCAAGTGGCAAAGATTTTTTTTTTTTTTTTTTAAGTTTTAAAGAGAGAGAGGGAGAGAGAGAATCCAAGCAGGCTCCACACTGTTAGCACAGTGTGACATGGGGCTCAGAGACACAAACCATGAGATCATGACCTGAGCCAAAATCAAGAGTCAGTTGCTTAACTGACCAGACAGCCAGGTGTCCCCCAAAATGTTTTTAAACAGTCTTTTTGTGTTCTGTTTCCTCTTTTCTATAGGAGATTTGGCAGGTCGTGCAGAATTATTGGGTAAAACCTCTCTAAGGATCTGGAATGTGACCCGGACGGACTCAGCCCTTTATCGCTGTGAAGTGGTTGCTCGAAACGACCGCAAGGAAATTGATGAGATTGTCATTGAATTAACTGTGCAAGGTAGTAACTCACATGAAGTTAAAACATGTTCTCCCTCGGCAAACCATGAGAGACTCTTGAATACTGAGAACAAATTGAGGACTGATGGGTGTGGGGGGGAGGGGAAGGGGGCTGATGGGCATGGAGGAGGGCACTTGTGGGGATGATCACTGAGTGTTATATGGAAACCAACTTGACAATAAACTATTTGTAAAAAAAAAAAAAAGATTGGGAGAAAAAAAAAACATGTTCTCCCTTTAAGGTCTCATGAGTCTATTTAAAAAAAAATGGAGAAGGGGAAAAAAAGAACAAAGATCAGCTCTTACATGTTTTCCTTCTAGAGCTACATCCCAGGGGTACTGCAGGACTTGTAGAGCTTGCACTGAGTCTGGGTGGAAGGTGAGATGGGAAGTGGAGCTCCTGTTGCTGCCTCCACCAGCTGTAGGAGGCGCCCCTCAGGGAGGTGGAGGCGTCAGGAATGCGCTGCGGGACTCTAGGAGGGGGTTGAGCCGTGAGGCAGATGCAGCGTCAGATTAGAGCCTGCAGGTAGTACATGGGGATGGCAGTGGTGCAGGAATCCCCTGGCTGGTTCTCCTGTTTTTGAGGCTTTATTGTGGGCTTTGATAAGAAGCCATGTTGCTGATTTTAAACCCCAACCTGTATTTCTCCCACAGTGAGGCCGGTACCTCCTGTGTGCAGAGTACCAAAGGCGGTACCCGCAGGCAAGACGGCCACGCTGCAGTGCCAGGAGAGCGAGGGCTTCCCCCGGCCTCACTACAGCTGGTATCGCAATGACGTGCCACTGCCCACGGATTCCAGAGCCAATCCCAGATTTCGAAACTCCTCTTTTCTCTTAAACTCTGAAACAGGCACTCTGGTAAGATCTCTTCTCAGAGGTGAGGATAGCAATGTCTTTGTTGGGGAAGGGATACCTGTTGTGGAAAGAGCACTTATTGGGAGCTTATGTTATAAGACAGGAGCTAAAAACCCATAATGTTGGAGATTCTGTGGGAAAAATGAACCTACCCTCCTTTTTATAAACAAGTAAGTTCTAAGGGGGTAAAATAAAGGAAGGGAAATCTGGAGACTAAAGGTGATTATGAAGGTATAGTAAACAAATGTAACGTGTGGATGATGTTATTAGGGTCCTGATGTGAATAATCAACTCTAAAAATCATGAGACCATCAGGGAAATTGGATTACTGGATAATTGATTAAGGAATCGTTAGTTGCCTTAGGTACAATAATGGTACTGTAGTGATAATGTTAAGAAGTCTTTGTCTTTTAGAGATGCATACTGAAGTATTGATGGATAAAATGTGTCTAGAATTTTCTTCAGAATGACCCAGTGGTTGTGGTGGGAAGTGGGTGGGAGGAGAGACAAAGTAAGATTGGTCATGTGCAGAAGACAGACCTGCTCTCAGCAGCAGCGTGTCACCCGGGCTTCTACCACAGCTACGTCTCCTGTGGCGTGTCTAACTACACTTAGTAACAAGCAGGTTATAATAGGATCCTGTGTTTGTATTGCCCAAGTGTTGCCTGAGAAACAATCATTATCAGAATCCCTTTCCCTGCATAAAAGCTCACATTGCATTCTGAATGTTGCTAGGCTTTGATATCACCAAAAACCTAATGGGCTCTCATTGTTCAGCTCTTGGGCAAGACTGTTGGGAAAAAACTATCAGGGAAGAACCTGGACAGTGACCAGGAGGCCAAAAGGAAACCAAGAGCAATAAGCAGACATTTTATTATGTTCTGGACTTAGCAGCTTGGTGGGGGAGAGGAGCATGGCAGTCTCTTCTCTGCGGTCCCCAGAGGTCTGCCCTGTTGATTAGTCTTACGATTTACTTGTGATTTCTGGAAACAGGTTTTCAGTGCTGTTCACAAGGAAGACTCTGGGCAGTATTACTGCGTTGCTTCCAATGATGCAGGCACAGCCAGATGTGAGGAGCAGATGATGGAAGTCTGTGAGTTATTTTTTGAAAATATCTCATCTGAAGACTGGCAAGTGGATAGAACATTTTAAATTTAATATTAGACCACAGTTTAGACAACTATTGTGCCATAGGTCAGTTTTCTTCTGGAGATGACTGGATTCACCAAAACCCACCAGAGGATGTTGAAAGGAAAAATGAGAGAGTTCTGAGTAACAGCTAAATGACTAAGAAGTGGGTACTTGCAATATGTTTATCTCCTCAAAATAGACCTGGAGTCTTCTGGTGTTGGGAATGTAGCTAATCATGTCACTTTTAACTGAGTTTAATAAACTCCATTTTTTTGGGCTATTGATAGGATTATCAAAACATAACGTTGTGTGAGTTCTCTAGCAATTTATCCAGTTAGAACCAGAGTTTTAACCCCAGGAACTTTACCCTTTTCTGTGATGATGCTGTCTTTAGGGTACTGGTTCTGAATGGGCAGTGGTGGGGGCAGGGTGGGGCACGCCTCCCTCCTTCCCGGGTATAACTGACCCCAGAGCGGTGTTTTCCAAACTTGCCTGATCATGAGAAGCATTTGAGTGCACTGTTCCACATACAGATTCAAGGCCTCACCCCAGTGGTATGGACTCCGTCCCCAGGGGAGGTCTGGAAGTGTCTGTGTGTAAAATATTCCAGGTGATTCTTGTCGTCTGTCAAAGTTGGGAAACTGCTCCAGGGCAGGAGGAAGATTCCTTTGCCCCAAACCTATTGAATCTCTAGTGATAGAGGTTGGGAATTGGACATTTTAAAATCAGAATTTCAGTTTTAAGTGCACACTCACATCTGAAACCACTGTACTGAGGTAAAGGAGAATTTTAACAATTTCCAAGTTAGTGGGCTTATGTTGATATATCACCTGCATGTTTTCTATTGCATTTTTTTTTTTTTTTTTTTTTTAATGAAGGAAACCTCCTCAGTGCTCCAGCTGACAGGGACTGAGTACCTTTGCCCCGTATACAGAAATGGGAAGAGGAGGGGTCAAGGGGTTTCCTCTTAAGAGGGCTTCTAGATACGAGGCCAGGCAGCTGCTGGTGAAAGGTCGCGTTCCTGCCTCAGATTTTTACTTTTAAGTACTGTGTGAAACTAGTTCTCCTCCTCCAAAAAATCCACAGCAAAAGGGATCCCTGGAAATTAGGAACTTTTTCTTCTTTGGAATTCCTGGCTCCTTATTCTGTCTTTATAGTGAAACCATTTCCTCCATTAAAAATATTTTCAGGGATTTAGCCAAAGGATTTTAAAGCCTTTTATACAACGCTAAGCCCCTTTAACACGGGATTAAGTATAACGACATCTCAGCCATGGAGATCTCAGTAGTTTTACAAGCGGGAGCAGGAGTCTGGGGTCCTGTTTGCTCTGGGCGAGAGTTTAAGTGCTCTCACTGCGTCCTGCTGGCTGGGGTTGGCTCTGCTGGCTGGGGTTGGCTCGGGTTGGCCTGAGGGCACAGGGCGGGGGGTGGAGGGAGGCACAGTGGGGCCAGGGGCTTTTATAAGACCAGATAGTGTGTATCGTCTCCTCCCTCCATCCCTCTTTTCTCCAGATGACCTGAACATTGGTGGCATTATCGGGGGGATCCTGGTGGTGCTTGCTGTTCTGGCCCTGATAACAGTAGGCATCTGCTGTGCATACAGACGGGGTTACTTCATCAGTAATAAACAGAATGGTGAAAGGTGAGCCTGTCGTCTGCCCTAAGTGACAAAACCAAAGTTTAAGTTGGCATCCTATGAAAAATCAGTGGTCACTGAGTCCTCTCTCTCGTGTTTCAGTTACAAGAGTCCGGGGAAGCCAGATGGAGTCAACTATGTGAGGACAGAGGAGGAGGTAAGGAAAGGAGCTTCAGAACCTAGAAATGGAGGTCTTCCCGGCAGGGAAAATGACATTCCTCCTTAGAAACCCTCCCGATACAATGTTTCATACACTCCTTGCATCATAGTTCTCAGCTCTAGTAGATGTTACTTTTGAAGAATGGTTTCGTTTGATTTGTTTTGCCTTAAGTTTCTTCTTCAGGAAAACAATGAGTAGACCTGATTTCAGCTGTCCGTCTTCCTCTCCCACTTGGGCCCCTGGGTTGGTAGAGGACAGCCGTGTCTAAGCCTGTGTTGGCCTTGCAGGGCGACTTCAGACACAAGTCATCATTTGTGATCTGAACTCTGATGGTGTGGCTGAGGGAGCACATGCAAATACCTCTACCAGAAACTCCTATCAAGAGCAACCCAGGAGCCAAGTGCACTTGGACAGAGCTAGACACTTGCACAAAAGCTTTTTGTTTGGCCAAAGTTGACCGCTACTCCTTTCTTACTCTTTAACAAGCCACATAAATAAAAGAAGTTTCCTCCAGCTGCGCAAAGTCATCATAAGTAAAAAAATTGCATTTCACTGAGGCTGATTCCCAGTCTATTTCTAGCCTGGCTCCCACCTGAGTCTTAGGGTTACACTGTGAGGCTCTTGCTTACAGACGCTGGGCTGGGTGGGCCTCGGCACTGTGGGCCTGTGAAGCCGATGTATTTGCCACTCAGTGACGTAAGCCAGGGTGCGCCCCGTGAGAGGGGACGCAGGGCAGCCGCACAGCACCAGCACTGCAGGACTTGGGAGCATGACCCACCACGAACTCTGCAGCTGGAGGGAGTCTGAACCAGTGAGTCCAGAAAAGTGGCGTTTTATGCGATGACCTTGGTTCATAGTGACCCACAGCCAGCACTGCACTGATTGTTCTTAAAGGTTCTGTTGATCAGTATTTTAGCATTCGTTTTGGAAAATCTTTGTGGATCAGAATTTTATTAAAACAGCTCAGATCAGGAAGATACGTTGTTGGAAGAAGGGATCTTCTCAGCTGTAGGAACCCTGCTTGTCCTTTGGGGGGTGGGGCAGATGTGTGGGATGTTCAGTATTTAAAGAAAACCTTCATCTTAGGTAAATCTGAAATGGTACTAAAATCATGTTCTGCTTTTCTATGGGTGTTTATTTTATAAAATTTTACATTCTAAATTTTTGCTAAAGATGTATTTTGGTTATTGAAAAGAAAATTTCTATTTAAACTGTAAATATGTTGTCAGTGTTAAATAACCTATTTTTTTAAAAAATTTCAACTTAAGGTTTGAGTTCCAAGCTACTAGTGTTACATTGGAAAATATCAACAAATAAAGAGTATTTTAACCCAAGAAATCCTCTTGAGGGAGTTTACTAGAACATTCCTTTTTTCCACATGAGTATCAGCATTTTTCACAAGAGAGCTTAACGTTGTCTGTACATCAGACATTGTTAATTAGGAAACCTTTAAAAAAATTCCGGTTGACAAATGTCAGTATCTGTTTGCGTCTCTCCTAAAGACATAAGGAGCTGTAAGGTTAGCTTTTCACTCAAACTGTCTGTGCCCAAAGACCACCCAGAACTGCTTGGACGTACATGTGATATGTCAGCCAATCCCTGGGCTTGAGTCTTGTGCCCTACCCTAGATTGATACTGCCTGCTAACACGAAGGCTAGCCAGCATGTGCACTGCCATCTTTACTGCCCGGACAGGACCTCTGTGCTCGCTTTATCATGGTGGACAGTTCTACGGCGGACACTTCAGGAAGGGTGGATGTCCTCCATGTGGTACTGTGGTACCCCAGCCTTTGGGTCCCCTGTGGCAGAGCTCTTTTGGGTTGTGGATGGCTCACGGAACAAAGCAGCTACTGCTGTTTGGTTTTAAAATTCATTTTACTTATTTGTGTAGTTCCTAAGACTGTCCAGGGCCAAAGGCAGTTCTGGAATCACCTACAACAGTGTTTTTTAAGAAAATGAGTTCCACTATTCCTCTTTGCCATGAAGAAAGCACAGAGGCACCACGGGTTGCATCTCGCTTCACAATAAACCATTATGTGGCGGCAGGGAGGCCAATCTTTTGAAGCAGGTTGGGGAGTGCAGCCAGGGCAGAAAGCCTGATGGCAAGAAAAGTGAAATGCCTGAATCAAGGCCATTTTCTGATTTTGATTTTAAAGTCTTTATCTACCCAAGACACTGCTGCTCACTGTGTGTGGGACATTAGAAACATCATTCAACAGCCTTTGTTCTTCAAGAGCAGCTGTTCTTCACCTCAGATACGTCGCTGTGTTAAACTCCTGATACGAAGCAGTTTGAAGGAGCTGCTCGGAGGAGCGCCCCCAGTTCCACTGTGTGCTTAAAGGATGGTTTCTGTGTGGAAGGATGTAGTCATCTTGGGATTAAACTTCTAGTGTCTTAATTTTTTGTACTTTGGGTTTTTTTTTTGTAACTGAATACTTGAGACTTACGTTGACTTTTCTTTTGTTAAGTTATGTGAATACTTTGCCGTGGGGTTTGGCAGAAGCAGTGGGCAACTCTTCACATTTGCTTAATGGTACCCATCTTCTTTTGTGTTTGTGTCTTAAATGCTTAGACTTAAGACTGTCCCTTCATCTTCACCCCCTCGCCCCCTTTGGTAGAAAGGCATAGTGTTCCCATTCTCTCATTGGTTGGGGAGCAACACTTTGGCTGCCATCTTGGTTGTCATAGTGATAGGGTGGCCTTATCGCCTCCCTTCTTATGACCCTGAAACCTCCCATCCTAGTGCCATGTGAACTGAGTCTGACAGAGAGAAGCGAGTATGGAGTCTGGGAAGTAGTTGCCTAATACTGTAAAAATGTAGGCCGAAAAGGAACATTCATGTGTTTTTAAGATGTGAATGTGACTGAAAACTCGAAGCCTCTACAAGGCTGTTGTGGCCTTTGGCGTGGCTGTTGCTGTACATAGAGACTTGTACTAACACACCTAGAAGTTGGTATTTGTTAAACCTCATTTATAAAGGCTTAAAAAAAAAAATCAAACCTGCCTCATTCTTTCTTTCTTATATGCTCTTACCTTGGGTTTACTTCTTTTTCCTAGCATTTTTTTAGGCAAATACGCTGAAGATGGCACAGTCCCAGGTTTAAAGAGAGACTGCCATCGAGTAGCATCTACCTGATCTGGAGAGAAGTCTTCACTCAAGAGCACTGCTCTTTGACTTCCTCTGCCAATGACACATCCTTGTGTGTCACTGTTCATACACGGGAGAGCTGAGGGGTAGAGCACAATGACCTTCTACCCTTCAGATCCAATTACCACATTTATTTTTAAAAAAAAAATAGCAATACAGTAACCCTGCACTTTTGCTTCTGTAGTCCTGGGACTAAAAAGTGAACCAACTGAATTTCTTCCTGGTCACTCTTGGACAAAACATGAACGAACAGTTGTTTTAAGATGGCCCAGTGGCATCAGCAGAAGACACCAAAGCCATTCCCCGTCGTGGGAACAGTCTTTGTGGAGGTTAACAAGCCAGCGTTAGTGCTCACAGGTCAGCGCCCGAGGGGGGACTTTCACGAGCAGGCCTTCATTCACACACGAAGAAGGATGCGTGCTGTTAGGAGTGAGACTGCTTCTGTCCGGGGCAGAGGCAGAAAGGCAGGCACTGAACATTATTGACAGAGGGAGGCTTTTTTGTTCCCCTAAAAGGAAAGTTGGGTTTTATTATTATTCAACATTTCATGTAAATTAAAATGACTACCAGTAAAAGCCCTGTTCTAAAAATAGGAATATTCTTTTGAACCCAGAAGGCTGTATTTATGTTTAACCTTTATTATTCCATTTTAGAAAGCTGTACACTTTAAAAACTTCCGATTTATAAATAAGAATAAAGAAAATAATTACAATCAAACTTTCATCATTTGATACAGGAAGCTATGTAGGGAATTCCAAACAGATAACAGAGGCCTGATTTATATAAAAGAAAGCTCATCTGTTAAGTCGTGTTCCTTAAGGACCAGAATATAGTTTATGAGAATGAACTTGATACTTTCAAATGGAGTGAAGTTAGAATATTAAATAGCTAAGACATTTCTCTATTATTTTACAATTTTTTTTTTTAACCATATATTTCATAAAGAGAAATGTCAAAAGGCTGGCCAGCCACACAGGTGGACATTAAGGGCTGGAATCCCAGGAAAATCTCTGGGATCACATACTAAAAGCTGCCCTCTCCCCGAGGGCGAGGGAAGCGGACTTTGCCTTTGCACAGGCAGGAGACCTGTCCTTCTTCCCAGACACTGCTGAACACACCGTTTCAGTTGGCTGTTTTCAGGGGGGTCTTTCGGAGTGACCTCCTGCTGGGGGCCGGGTTATCTTTATTTCTGGCTGGAGACTTCACGTTCCACTGCTGAGGCTGTGGGGCCCTAGGGAAAGGAAAGCAAATTACTCTGGAACTAAAGATAAAACCCTGACAAAAACATTTACCTCAAAAGGAACTCTTGCTAAACTTACGGTTTATCAGGAAGTGATAAACATAAAATGTCATTTCCTTGACACTGGGCTTCAATTTTCTCTGAAAGGGAATCAGACACAGAGAACTTCAGATTTCCTAGTCTCAAAAGCAGCTAATGTATCTGACAGGAAGGGAACTTGCCTTTGACTGAAGAAGGCGTCCGTGGTGTGACTATGTAGCTGACTCCTGCTCCAAATGTGACATCATTGATGGTCCCTGCAGAAAGGGGAAAACGGCACCATTAAGGAAAAGCCAGTAGGAGACAGACATACATAAAGTCACCGGAGCAAAGCCATGGAGCTTCTGCTACAGTTTTACTCTGTCACTTGTATCAGACTCCAAGTGCTGTCAAATCTAAATCCAGGGCCCGTTTCAGGCCTCAACTGGCCTTTCTGCAGGACGAGACTTCATCTTTCTGATAGTCATCCCATCTGGGGTCTCCTGGCTCTCTGCTCCCCTGACCAGTCCCTCCTCAGACAGCTTTGCTGGCCCTTCCCTACCCACGGCTCGCTGCCTCTGGTTTCTCACCCACCCCACGTCTCCTGTTACTGCCCACACACCAGTGACCCCCAGCTTCACCCAGCTCTGACCTCTGCCTCCGGAGTCCTGTGTTTCCTACCCCCTCACTACCCTCCCTGAAGACGCTTGGCCAGCTCCTTACCCCCACTCCTCAGCACGTTGCTTCTGAATCTCTTTCCTGTTGATGGTCTGTCCAAGCTACTTCTCCACACTTAAACAGTAACAGATCACATCCACCTTCCTCCTGTCGTCTTCTTCCGCTGCCTCCTCTCCTCCTCCCACCCCAACTTAGCACAGTCGTCTCCACCATGGCCTCCCCTTCTTCCAGTTCCCCCCCGGGAGGCAGGGTGAAGACTCCCTGTGTGGGAACAGACTCCAGTCAGACTTGATTGGAATTCTGGCTCTGGGTCTTACTGGCTGTATGAATTACTCTAAAAACCTCAAGTTTCTTTATCTCCAAAATGGGATATAGACGTACCTGCCTCAGGGTTGTCAGGATTAAATGAGATTATTTATGTTACATCCTTAACATGGTACTTGGCACAAGGTAACTGCTGAAGAAAGGCTAACAATTACTGTAATTTATTAGCGGTTATTCCCTATGTCACTAGAGCTAAGTTTAAAGATCTGGTGAGGTGGCTGCTCTGCTTACGCATCCTGATGGCTCAGTGTTCTAGAGAAGGCCTTAAATCCAGCCTCTGTCCAAGCTGGACACAACAATCTCTGTGCGAGCCAGCCCCAAGCCGGCCTTACCAACTTGCTGTATTCCCACGCTGCCGGCCACCATGTCTGATATCACTGTTCTTCCCAGCCCCGGTCTGCGTGTGCAGTCCCTGCTGCCTGAGACGACTCCTACTCACGTGCCAGTCCCTTGAGACCTGGGTGGCGATACCTCTCCCAGGGACTTGCTCCCTCCTGTGTCCTGTACCTCTGCGTGAGGTATCATCACGCTTGCTGGGGGCACAGAGCACAGGCTCATCAGCTGGCTGGCTGTTGACTGTCCTGTCAGAGGCTGCGTACCTCCCACAAGAACACTTGGGACATAAGCTTTCTCCCCCTGCACTGTAACCTTCTGAGAACACCAGTGAGATCTTTCTAACCTGTTTGAAATAAGTCCACCGGCGCATCTGCAGTGCTACGTGCCTGTGAACTACGTAAGCTATGTTAACTGAGAAGAGATCTGTATTTTCACGTGCTGCCACTCGGGTCAGTTGTGCCCATTCCCGTTTTTGAGAGTCCTCTCCTCGTGCTGCAGCTCAAACTCCCCTTCCTTACGTGCACATTCTTTTTCCAGTCTGGAAGCCTGAGCACATCCAGGCAATAGGCAGCAGTGCGGTGGCTCTCAGATTCCCCATGTATGTCGTAAGTGCTCAGAATCAAAGGCAGGAGCATCTTTGCTGCCTGAGTGACAGCAGTAAGAGGGACTTGCTGAACCCCGAATGGATTTTCACCTAAGATCTAGCTCTGAAAATGACTCATTTCCATTTAGCAAAGCCACTCTGCTCATGCTGAACACCATTTTTCCTCCTGCTTTCGTGGAGCGGGGGCCACTTCCTGATAGTCACCCACCTAAGAGTTGTCAACAGAATTTGTATTTATAAGCCATGGAGAAGAGAACTGAGTGTTTTTACATGATCTCATAACGCTCCTAGGAAGGAGAACTAATGGGAGATCCTCTTCACGCATTCCTTCCTGGTCCTGAACCAGGAGAGATGGCCAGGAATTTTACATTCAAGAGCCCAGAGAAGGAAAAAGTGCTCTCGACTTGGGGACACCTGAGACACAGCCCCATGCACGCAAATCCAAGCAGGATTAATGCAACAAGCCAAGCTTTGCTGCTGAGGAGCTCAGGCTGCTAGGAAACCAACCAAACACTGAAATGAGGGACTCATGGGGATGAGCGGAACTAAAATGAGAGGCATTCTCCCTGTTTCTGCGGCATATGGTTCCTAATGCCAAAATAGAAGCACTCAGTGCCTCTGAACCAGGAACAAAGAACATACAGAAAACCTGCCTGTTTCAAAGAGGCTGAATTTCTCACACATATAACATTACACCTTTTCGATAAACAGGACCCCCAAATTACTGCTTTTAGTGACAAAAGCAGTCCCGATTAGCTCTCTCAGGGGAGGGTTGGGGCAGGAGCTCTGCTGGTCCACTCATCTCCTGTAAAAGGAGAACCTGGATGGAAGCCCTGTAACCCACTAACTAGTCTAGATCACAGCAACTCAGGTCCTAAACCCCCAGGCAAGTAGCCAGAACACACGAGATAGGTGTTCGAGCAACTCGTACTGACTGAACGGCTGCTCCTGGGCGGCTCCGTTAGCAGAGAGAAGAACAAGGTACCATGGGCTCATCCAGCAGTCACGCCCAAGAGTACCAGTGCCAGGGCAGAGAGGCCGTAGGACACGGACCGCGGGCGGACAACCGCCGCCCTTCCACCAGCACTCAGCAACAGGTCTCAGGCGCGCACCTACCACACTGCAGACGCGGTGGCAGCCCAGTGAGTACGCTGCACAGGACAGCTCGTAACTAACTGCAAGGACGGATGAAGGAGGACGGCTGACCCCGAACTACGTGGGGTTTGGGGCCACCACCACCCCCTCCATAGTTGAAAGGCCACACATTTTTTCTGATTCGTCCAAAACTTAACTACCAATAGGCCACTGCTGACCAAAGGGAAGCCTTACCGAGAGCATCCAAAGACAGTTAACACATAGTTTGCACGTTACATGTGCCACACCCTGTACTCATAAGGCACGCTGGAGAACAGAAAATCCATGGGAAAGTGTAATAATCCATGGAGGATACGTTTACAGCGTT